CTTATACTTAATATAGAATATAAACTCAAATGAATCTCCCCAAACATCCCCTCTTCTGGACCTGCCATGGTTCAGGCCATAGGGTGGAGCCTGGAGGTAACACCCTCAGCTGGAGTGGGTGGAGTCAGCTCACAGGAGTGTGAGCTCCAATTGTGAGGGAGGAGTCAGCCCTCACAAGACCCATCTCCAGATGTTGTTACTCGGCTTGGTCAAGACCAGGGCTGAAGGATATTACCTATTGGACACAGGAAGAACATACTGAAGCAGGTCTAAAGCAGGTCTACAACTAGGGTTGTCACGGTAAACGGTGTAGCGGTAAACTGCGGTAAAAATTTTGACGGTAAAACTTACCGTGTTATTTTTGAAAAACTATATTACCGCGCCCACGGTGTAAGCACGGTGAGCCTCACCGGCCACCGTCTCATCTGCTGGAGTTGCCGCGCATGCGCACTATGTTGTTGTTTTTTACCCAAAACAAGCTGGAATCATGGCCGAAGGAGAAGACGGCAGCGCTCAGGACATTTATCAACCTTCAAAGAGGACCAAGTCTGAAGTCTGGGCATATTTTGGGTATTTGAAGAACGCCGAGGGACAGCTGATAGAAGACAGTTATCCTGTTTGCAGGACGTGCAGGAAAAAAGTTTCTGCGAAAGGCAGCAACACGTCGAACCTCATGACACATCTGCGTGACCATCACCCACAACTCTACAGCCAATGCAAGGTAAGTTAACATTTTAGCCGAAATGCATAATGTGCAGACTTTGGGTTGAGGGGAGAACGCAACGAGTCGCCCCATAGTGCAGCCGTAGCGCCACCGCTTCCATGTAAGCCGTGTCGCGGATACCTCCGTATTGAAATGGCACAATGCATTACAGGACTCCTGGAGGGCAGATAAAAGCCCCATTATTATGAATTTAACAATGGTCACTGACATTTTCCCAAATCTGAAAAAGCACACGGGAAGGACACAAACTGAGCACACTATATCCTGAGGGTTTATTTAGTTGTCTGGAAAATATTATTATTATAAACACATTTCTGGCGCTATAATTAGTACATGTAATACCCTCGAAACGATCAAATCATTAAATATTGGAATCAATAGCAAATATACCATGAACTTATATGTATAAGCCCTGTAAGAATTTCTAACCAATCGTTTTATTTTGATTTATCAACAAAAACAAGTATAGGCAAACTCGTCGTATGTATTTTAATATGAATGATATAATAATAATTAATAATAATGATTCATAACAATAATGATATGGGTATTTTTTTTAATATTTTGTTTTTGTTTACAGAAAGGAGTGGGACAGACAGCGAGGCAACGGAGTACTGCTACTGGATCATCAGTGACACAGACACTTGAGCAAGCGTTCAAAAAACAGACTGCTTATGCGCCTGCATCTAAAAATGCTCAAGAACTGACTGCAGCAATCGCCTATTGCATAGCAAAAGACATGATGCCTTTCCGGATAGTCGAGAGGCCTGGCTTTCTGAGGGTGATGAAGGTTGCCGTACCTCATTACAAAGTGCCTACACGCAATTATTTTTCAAAGACTGAAATTCCAAAGATGATACAATGAAGTCAAAGCTGATGTTAAGAAGAGTTTGGCTCAGGGTGAATTCTTTGCTGCAACTACTGATCTCTGGACCAGTGAAAGAGGGGGTGGTCTACCATACATCAGCTTTACAGTTCATTATCTCACCCCAGACTGGCAACTGGAATCACATTGCTTAGAAGCCCATTTTTTTCCAGAAGATCACTCTGCTCAAAATATTACAAAGTTTTTTGAAAATATGTTGGAGGAATGGGAGATAAACAAAACAGATCTGGTCTCCATAACCACAGATAATGCAACCAACATGACCAAGGCCTTTGAAGACTTTCCAGATCTGTGGCTAGGATGCTTTGGTCACAATTTGAACCTGGCCATCTCAAAGGCTCTGAAAATACAGAGAGTTGAAACAGCAGTCAGGGCATGCCGTCATCTGGTCCAAGGCTTCTCACGGAGCTGGAAGAGAAAGAGAGAACTGAGAGAAAAGCTAAAGCAGGACTAAAGCAGGACTAAAGCAGAACTTCGTCCATGGTCTGCAGCTCGTTAGCGATGTTGATGATGTAATGGATATTGTTAGTTTTACTCAACTGATCCTGGATCAGTGCAGAGCGTGGGAACTAGGTGATGCAACCCTCACAGAGACCAGAGAGGGACCAGAGGGAGACCTCACAGAGACTAGAGGGAGACCAGAGAGGGACCAGAGGGAGACCTCACAGAGACCAGAGGGAGACCAGAGAGAAAAACTCTGGTCGCTGGTTTACTGCATCTCTCTCAGGGTTGTTCTGATCTTGTCTCATTGTGAACTTCCAACTCCCCTTCCCCCCCTCCTCTCCCCCTCCTCCCTCCCCCCCCCTTCCTCCCCCTCCTCCCCTTCCTCCCCCTCCTCCCCCTCTGGGTGCAGTTTGACTCTGATGTGAGTGGAGTGAAGTCTCGAGTGTCGTTTCCTTTTCACATGAAATATAAATGAGTTTAGACTCCAGAGAGAGACCAGAAAGAGACCAGAGAGAGACTACGAAGAGACTAGGGAGGGACCAGAGAGAGACCAGTGAGAGACTACGGAGCGATTAGGGAGGGACCAGAGAGTAATCCAGAGAAAGACCAGGGAGGGACCAGGGAGAAACTGGTTGTCACAGGTTCCCAGTGTTTGTCGTCTTCCTGCAGTGTGTGAATTTGAAAAGAGCTTTTGAGACACCTGCAGCAGAATTACACAATGTACCTACTCTCCTCCCTCCTCTCGCTCCTCTCTTCTCCCTCCCTTGCTTCCCCCTCCTCTCTCCTCTCTCCCCTCTCTCCTCACTAGTAGGATTCTTACTCAAAGAGTTTTAAAACATTTGAAGTTATCGGAAAATAACAGTCACAAAGGCAGCCATTGTTTCTGCTCCAGTTTCCTCGATGGAGGCTTTGATTTCAGACAGGTGCAGTGTGTGTGTGTGTGTGTGCGTCTGTGTGTGTGTGTGTGTGTGCGTGTGTGTATGTGTGTGTTCCAAATATAAAGTTAGAAAGGTTTTGTGAGTTGTTTTAAAACCTTAAGTCATTATGAATACCCAAGACCAGAGTGAGAGACCAGAAGGAGAGAGAGACCAGAAAGAGAGGGACCAGAAGGGGAGAGAGACCAGAAGGAGAGAGAGACCAGAAAGAGAGGGACCAGAAGGAGAGGGAGGCCAGAAGAGAGAGAAAGAGAGACCAGAGAGGTCTCTCTTTCTCTGAGACACGTACAGAGGTCTGAATAGTAATGAAGGACAAACACATCACTCTTTTCTTGTCCACAATGTTCTTCATTACAGTCGATTGTTTGGCTCAGTCCTGAACAGTGGAAATACTGGATCCTTAGACCAGGTCTAAAGCGGGTCTAAAGCAGGATTAAAGCAGGTCTAAAGCAGGTCTAAAGCAGGTCTAAAGCAGGACTAAAGCAGGTCTAAAGCAGGTCTAAAGCAGGTCTAGGGCAGAACTAAAACAGGACTAAAGCAGGACTAAATCAGGTCTAAAGCAGGACTAAAGCAGGTCTAAAGCAGGTCTAAAGCAGGTCTAGGGCAGAACTAAAACAGGTCTAAAGCAGGTCTAAAGCAGGACTAGGGCAGGTCTAAAGTAGGACTAAAGTAGGACTAAAGCAGGACGAAAGCAGGTCTAAAGCAGTTCTAAAGCAGGACTAAAGCAGGTCTAAAGCAGGACTAGGGCAGAACTAAAACAGGTCTAAAGCAGGTCTAAAGCAGGACTAGGGCAGGTCTAAAGTAGGACTAAAGTAGGACTAAAGCAGGACGAAAGCAGGTCTAAAGCAGTTCTAAAGCAGGACTAAAGCAGGTCTAAAGCAGGACTAAAGCAGGTCTAAAGCAGGTCTAAAGCAGGACTTCCTGTCTCCTCTGTAATGAGCTCTTCTGTCGTGTATAAAACATTAATTTTAATATTTCATGATTTCCTGATGTTTCTGTGGAGACGCACTGGTCTCCAATTCCCTCAAACTAACTCGGACTTGAGTGATCGGTGGAACAGCTCGGTCGTGTTCAGTGACGCGGCTCTGATTCTGACGAAGAGTGTTTCTAATGAACTCAACTTTAATGAGATGATAGTTTATGCAAATGTATGTGTAATATATGTGATATTGATGCATTCGAACAGACAAGGTCCTGGACTCATGGCCTCTCTCCTCTCTCTCTTCTCCTCTCTCTCTTCTCCTCTCTCTCTTCTCCTCTCTCTCACTCCTCTCTCTCTTCTCCTCTCTCTCACTCCTCTCCTCCTTCTCTCTCCTCTTCTTCCTCTCCTCTGTCTCACTCCTCCCTCCTCTCTCTTCTCTCTCTCTCCTCTCCTCCCTCCCCCCTTCTCCTTCTCTTCTTTCATATAAATTGAGATCATAAACTCAAACACGTTTAGTGTCTGTGAGAAAATATTAAAATCATTTCTCAGCTTTAATGAAAGTTTGTGAGCGAGACCAGTACTACATCTCATTTTTTTGTTTTCTTGTGTGGGTGTGTCTCTGGGTGTGTCTGTGTGTGTGTGTTTCCGTTTCTGTGCGTGTGTGTGTGTGTTGTCTGTGATAAAGTGTATAATCCCAGTTGTGTGTTATCACTGAAGCATAATCCATAATCTCCATAATCCGTCTGCTCACTGAAGCCAGACTCGAGTTAGAGCCGCTGCTGCGAGCAACACACGAAAGCATTCTACAAATGCACAATACACACACAAAGACACACTCACAGACACACACTTCCACTCAACATAACACGGACACACACACACGTACACACACGTACACACACATCTTGGTGGCGCAGCAATTCACAGAAACAGTCCTGGGCTTGGTTTAACCTCCAGAACTTTCTCTGTGGAGTTTGTATGTAAATAAATGTCTGCAGTCTTGGGTCCATGGTTGTAGTCCTTGGGTCCATGGTTGTAGTCCTAACCTATGTCTCTCTTTCTCTCTCTCTCTCCGCAGCCTGCGAGCTTATGAACCAGGGCATCTTGGCGCTAGTGTCGTCCACTGGTTGTGCGTCGGCGAGTGCGTTGCGGAGCCTGACGGACGCCATGCACATTCCCCACGTGTTCGTACAGCGCAGCAGTGACGGAGCGCCGCGCACGGCCTGCCGTTTCAGCTCCGCCTCGGGGGGGCGGAGCTACACACTCGCTGCCCGCCCTCCGGTCAGACTCAACCATGTGATGCTCAGCGTGGTCCAGGAACTCAGCTGGAGCAAGTTCATTGTGTTCTATGACGTGGACTATGGTGAGAAGACCAGAAAGAGACCAGGGATCAGAGAGAGAGACCAGGAATCAGAGAGCAAGAGAGACCAGGGATCAGAAAGAGGCCAAGGACCAGAGAGAGAAAGAGACCAGAGAGAGAAACCAGGGAGAGAGACCAGAGAGAGAGACCGGAGAGACCCTCTTTCTGTGAACTACATGTGTTATTTATGAGACTAAAGTTACAGACCCCAGCTATAATCCTGTGCTGTGTGGTATTATCCTCTGTGTAATCAGCTCTTATCGTCTGGTATCTGCCTTCAGTGTAATTGGATTAGAGCTGTTCTGATTGGACGATAGGGGAGCGGGCGCTGTGGAAACTAACGAGTGGCATTAATCAGAGCATCGTGGGTAATGTAGTTTCAGACGTCTGACCAGAGAGAGACAAGACCGTTTTTCCCTTGTCCTCTCACCTCTTGTCTATCAGTCTCTGGTTTTAAAAAATTAATCTCAGGTGTCAGACAGAGCACGGGACAGAGTGGGATCAGAATGAGTCCTAACGAGGTGTGGCTGTCCTCAGATATCCGCGGGCTGCAGAGCTTCCTGGACCAGACCTCCAGACTGGGCGTGGACGTGGCTCTGCAGAGAGTGGATCGCAACATTTCCAAGGTCTTCACCAATCTGTTCTCCACCATGAAGACCGAGGAGCTGAACCGGTACCGAGACACGCTGAGGCGAGCCATCCTGCTGCTGAGCCCCTCCACGGCTCACTCCTTCATCCTGCAGGTCACTGTCTGACTCCCAGGGCTGAGAGCTGATTGGCTGACTGAGGGTGGTCCTCTCTCCGTCACTTATCTGTCTGAAAAAACTGATCAAAAGATATATGACAGAGATACATGAGACCAAGACCAAGACCACACACACACACACACGCAAGCACACACGCACGCACGCACACACACATAAAACACACCAACTACAAACAAGGCACAAAACTAAGGCCTTGGGCTGTAACAACCAGCTTTAAAGTCTCGTCCCCCAGCTTTAAAGTCTTCATGGAGGTGTGCATCTTCCACTGTCCTCACAGCTGCAGCTAACCTGGCATTAGCCTAGCCGTAGCCTAGCATTAGCATACATTAATACATCAATGTCCGAATGCTAATGGGATCGTATGCACTTGCAGCTGTGGAAATATGCTAACTCCCTAAAGCACATGTTCAGGCACTGTTTCTCATCACAATCAATCTGCAGCAGTCTGTCTGCAAACTTCTGACTGTCCTTATCCACATTGAGGACATGAGCGGTTATATCAAATATCTGGTATATGAATGAATTAATTAATATTTTATTTAAGTGTCATACACATACAGTATGTGCCCAGCCCTCATGGGCTTATATGACACTATCAACAAAAGGAAGATATAGCCACACCTGTGGACAAAGATATTACTGTCTCTCTGGATATAAAGTCCTTTGTCTCAGTGTCCAGGCCTTTTCAACAAAGTTTTCCACTGCAAAAAAATCATTTTCAAATATCCAACACAGTCTATCACCATCAGAAAGCCATTGTACATAGGACAGTAAAACAAAACATGAAATTCATCCCCCACTACTCCCAGCTCACACAGAGCACACAGTCGACCATCCAGTGGAACCCCCTTGTAACGCCCCACCTCAACCTCAAGGGGCAGCACTCCTGCTCTGAGCTGAGCACACAGAGACCTCTGCCCTTTTCTCAGATTAGATTTTAAATACATTTCTGTGGAAAAACAGTTCTTGGACATAAGTTCTGAGCTTGGTTTTCTTCAAAACTTTAACTTTCCATTCTTTCTCATAGATATCATTTAACATTTTCCTTAGAGTTACCAATTTACATTGTAATATATTTTGAAATAAGTATCCGAATTCAACTTTTGACAATATTTGCAGCACCTCTTTGGACCAGGGATGTCTGTGACTTCTGTCCCAGTTAAAAATCTTCCGTGTAATTCTGTCTTCTGGTAGACGGACAAGGCGGTTCCACAGTCGGATCATCTCTACCTTCTGTTTTACAACACAAGGTTCCCAACCCATATCACCCTCTATCGCTGCTCTGGGTGTAAACCTATGAACTCCTAGGAAATATCTCATGGCCCTGCCTTGTATATTATTACACTCTGGAGCCTCCTCAAAGCCCCAAACGCCTGCACTATAGAGGAGTATAGATCCCACCATTGAATCGAACAGTTGTGTAAAAATATTAAAACTTAAATCAGGACAGATCTTCATCTTATTAATTACAGCTCCTAAGGCCCTCCTCGCAGACTCAGCTAGTATCTTTCTACCCTCAAAAAAACTCATATTCTCATGAAAAGCAAAACCAAGATAGGTAACAGAATACATCAAGCTTGTTTGACTAAAAGAAAATGTAAAATCACTTCGTGATACAGACGGTATACCTGTTATTTTCATTTACGTTTCCCGAACTGGTCAAATCTGTTGTAATTCTAAAGCTGGGTAACGTAACTTTACCCACAACATTGGAACACAGCAATAAAATCAATGTCTTTAGACCTGGTTCAGACCTGGTTTGGTCCTGGTTCGGACCGCTCTGAGGTGTGGAATACTAATGTGTTTGAGTGACCCGTTTCTATGGAGACAGAAGCTCAAGTTGTTTTTAGCTCCACCCACACTCACCTCAGGCACCTCCCCCTCTCAGAACGCTCTGTGCTGACTCTGTCTGATATGTGAACAGGTCTGAACCAGGACTAAGGCATGACTAAAGCAGGTCTGAACCAGGACTAAGGCATGACTAAAGCAGGTCTGAACCAGGACTAAAGCAGGTCTAAAGCTGATCTAAAGCAGGATTAAAGGAGGTCTAAAGCTGGACTAAAGCAGGACTAAAGCTGGACTAAAGCTGGACTAAAGCTGGACTAAAGCTGGACTAAAGCTGGACTAAAGCTGGACTAAAGCTGGATTAAAGCTGGATTAAAGCAGGACTAAAGCAGGACTAAAGCAGGACTAAAGCAGGACTAAAGCACTGGGACTTTCTTGTGGTTTGTCTTTGGAGCAGATTAACATGTGTCCATCCCTGCGCTCTGATTGGCCGGGGGCTGCAGCTCATTTGCATACAGATTGAAAACTGTTCTGCAGGACAGAATGGGCGGGGCAAAGGTTTTATTGTAATGATCACACACACACACACACATTATTCTCTGAGCTGTGTGTTGTTTTTTTCTGTGTGTGTTAGTTCAAAGCCAATAATAATTCATGATGTGTGTGTCTCTGTTTGTGTGTGTGTTTCAGGCTGTGGAGACAAATCTTGCATCCAAAGACAGTCACTGGATCTTCGTAAACGAGGTGAGAACCAGGACTGAACCATGGATGCATTATAATATCTGAATAGGGTATTACGGCTTGGCGCTGAAGGACCCATGTGCTCGGGGATTCTCCTGGTTCTGCAGACTAAACTAAATTCACGTGGACTACCCAGAAAAATATCCCATAGAACTCAATGTAAATTAAAACAGCTCAAACTCAACTGGCAGAGAACCTACAGCTTTCATAACGGTCGCATGTTGTGTCCCTTGTCAGACTGAATTTTTTTTCTTCTTAAATCCTTCAGTTTTCAATAAATCAACACTTTACTGTAACAAACTCTGCTTGATCGTCTCCTGCTCTCGCTCCGCTCCGATCCGCAGCTCTGATTGGCTTGTAATACCACCCCGGGTCGATGGGGGTGGACCCGGAATAATAATTAGCCAATGCTAACATATAGCATCTTCTTTTCTCTCTAAAACGTCTTTACAGGATGGTCCAAAAGTCGGCTCTTGGCCCAAAGCTCGGTTCCAGATTCTGTCAATGCTGAGGGGAGTGTATTTTTTTGGACCAGTCTAGTTTAGTTGCTGTGGATTTTTCAAGGCACTCGTCAAATAAATGGAGCTAGTGCCGGCTGATGCATGCCCAAATGCGTTTCTTCACATTTTTGAGCCCTGTGGCCTTTTTGAAACTTCCCATTGACGATGAAAGTGGGGGCACATTAGTTTTAATGGCGGAGATGAATGAAATATTTATTTCAAAACCTGCACACATAATTTTACAGGAAACAAGAAAACAAAAGCAAAAACATGTACAGGGATTGAAAAGGGGTTGGAGGAAGCAAAATGCTTATGTTAATCCAAACCCCCCTCACCCAGACACAGGACAAACAAGACAGAAACAATACCATACTGGGGAAATGCACAATCACATCATACAAATGTTTACTGTAAAGTACATACAGTAACAACAATACACACGCACGCACTCACACATACACGTTTTTGTTACCTGGTGGGTCCCTTTGACAGGGCCGTTCAGAATGGGACCCATAGACATAATCTTTTTTTACTGGGACTACTTTAAGTAATACAAAACAGTCAATAGAAAACAAACAACTCTTTTAAAGGAATTTTATTTTTGATTTTTTTTTTCGAATTGCAGTGATTCTATTTTTGACATAGAATTTAATGCCACTCCATGTCCGATGGCTAAGGTCATCTGGTGAGGCGTTAATGCAGGCCAGGCCAGGCCAGGCCAGGCAGTGAGACTTCCCAGGGACCTTTCCAGTCTGTATGAAAGGTGTCATGGTCTTCTCCACAGCCTTCACCTCAGATGCAGACCATGGCTTTCTTACACGTTCTAGGGAGAGAAATAAAAATATATTATCAATATACACTCCCAGGGTTAGGACCAAGCAGCCTGGCTGTAATCCCCCACCTGGTACACTTACCAGAAGGGGCACTGCCACTACCATGGGGTGCATCTGGATGAATGGTTGAAGGTTCTCCGCTTGAAGTTTCTTTTAGCCCGTCCGTTTGTGAGAGGATCTCTACTGCTCTCCCTGTCGCACAGAAAATAAAAATACAAGTGGCCTTTAGGGGAAAAAAATCATACATATTTTAATAATATCAAGAATTACCTTCAGGCTCAATTTGTATCTGGTCGAGGCTCTTTCCTTCGAATTCCGTCACTCTTCCCTGCTCCATGGCCATCAACACTTTGCTGATTTTGGCCAGCTCCAGTGTCCCCTCTGGTAGTCTGTAATATTGTCTGTGGATGCGAATGTCATGGCCGAGGAAGTTGGCTAGTATGTCCATTTCATTCTCTTTCATATTGAGAACTGTAGACATAGTAGCTATGTGCGTTCTAAGTTTGGTTGAGGATAGCATCTCTGGATGCACCGCACCACATTCTTTGGCTACCTGGCGTAGGGAGTCTGATCCCCTGATGTGGGTGTCTGCGCCCGGGCGGGAGAAGAAGTATGGGTTATGGTCAGAGATGGAACAGGCCCTTCTGTTCTCCACCAGCACCTCCATCGAAGCAATCATTTCAGGAGTCAAAAGAACCGGCACTTTCCGACTTCTTTTCTCTTTAATTTCAATGCGTTGAAAATGCTGACACAGCTTTTTCTCAAGTTGGGACAGTCCCAGAGCAATGTCAGAATGGATCCCAGTCTTACTTCTTAAGGTAAAGGCTGTCAGTGGCATCTTTGAAACCTCACCTTCCCTTCTTCGATTGAAAATAATGACCTCACAAAGAGTCAAAACTGCCAGTTTAGACCAATGCTTAGACGTTGGCTCACTTATTAGGGTTTGCACATATTCAGGTCGACATACCTCAATATGTGCATGCATGGCTCTAACGTCCTCAGTCAGAGGGAGCAGGTCCGGAGTGTTCCACTTGGCTTGCCGGAGGGTCTGTAGGGCAGCAGAAGAAACACAGACGTCCCACCTCTTCTCAAAAAGCAGCCGGCTTCGTTGGAGGTTTTTAATAAATAGTTCATCAACACAATGCTCCATTTTTGAGTCACAGTCAAGAATATCTGCTAGCTTTCTGAGGCTATGGCCGAGTTTGAGGGCCAAGGATGGAGTCTTGTATTGATTTGTTTCCTCATCATATCCAGCCACAGACCTGACTGCATCAATCACATGGTTAAAGTTGGAAGGAAAAAAGAAATCCTTAATTGTTTTCAGTTTTTTGCTTCGTTAATTAACCTACCGACTTCTCTCATTTTCTGCCTAATGTAATCATGCTTAGTCTTATCATGCCCGTGTTTTAAGTACAGGTGCTCTCCGAGTCTCAGAATCCCCTTTTCTGCTTTGACAACACCCGTGACCTCATCCTGATGCATTGCTGAAATTAAAGACCACAGCTTTTTGCTGATGCCCTCCGGTACAGGCTGGGCTAGGGAGCAGAGGGACTGGACCCTACTTCTACCTGGTTTAGCCTGGGCATCTTTCTGTGAAAGCCGGCACCTGGCCACATGCCTCCACAGCGACTTTCGCTTAAGCAATGCCCCACAGTCTATACAGTGCAAAAACTCACTGGATTTAACTGGGGAATTTGGCTGTTTAGCTGGGACTAAAGTTCCAATGCCGGCCTTTAAAACCTCAAAATTGTGCTCACGGTTTAAACTATTCCTGATCAAATCAAACTGAAGTTTACGTGCTTTAGATTTCACAGGTAGAGCCAATGCTCTGGCTACGTCACTTTCATTTCCATGTTTTCTAGTCAAATGACGGGACATTTTGTGGCAGGACATTGAACAGTAGAGGCAGAAGTGTCTCTTGCTGTAAACTCGCCCCCCATTTTTCTTCTTTTGCAGCTGCATGATAACAATCTTATTTGCCTTTGGTTCGTCACTTTCCGAGTCTTGAAGAAAAGTGTTTTTGATTTTTCTTTTTCCATACTTTTTTACAGGTTTCTTCTTGACAGTTAAATCGTCAGAATCTGAGTCGACTTCATCAATTAGGGACTCTTGACTAAGCTGCACAAACAACAAATAATTAGTAATAATTCTATATAACAATTTGAAGTCATGACTTGTAGTCAGCACTTACCAGTGGTTTGTAAGCGTGCGCTTCAGTGTGCTCCTCCATGATTTCTTGCAGCCTAATGAACCACACACTTGCACCTTTTCTAGCCTTAAGGGGCGTTCACACCGGACTTAACTTCGGCGTCAAAAGCGTCAGGTTTCCATTGAAAGTGAATGGTGAAGCGCGTCAGGTGAAGCCGAGAGCCCCGGCGTCACTTGACGCGCGTCAAAAGCTTCAAGAGTCGCGCGTACTACGCGCTCACTTGAAGCTTTTGACGCGCGAAACGCTCGCGTATCACAACAATCCCTTTGACGCCGAAGTTGAGCAAAGCTGAGCTTTTGAAGCTTTGACGCGGGCTTCAACCAATCAGGAGACGAGGAGCAGCAGCAGCAGAGGGTCTGTCTCTGTCATGAAGAGAAGTCATGTATCTGCTGCTGCTGTTTTATTGTCATTATTGTTATTAGTAATATTATTTGTATGAGTAGTAACATTCTGAGTAACAAAAATCATTGTACACATGCTGTGTAGTAAACGTAGTTTATTTAAAATAAGAACAGGCTGACGATGAGTCTGGCTCAGAGCAAGGCAGCTCCGGGCGGGCGAGAGCCGGGGAGAGGCAGGGAGAGGCGAGCGAGAGCCAGGGAGAGGCAGGGAGAGGCGAGCGAGAGCCGGGGAGAGGCAGGGAGAGGCGAGCGAGAGCCGGGGAGAGGCAGTGAGAGGCGAGCGAGAGCCGGGGAGAGGCAGGGAGAGGCGAGAGCCGGGGTTTGAGAACTCAGACTGGGCAAGTGACATGCGGAAGTACCGCTGAAAGCGAAACTCCTCCGTACGCAGCTACTGGAGTAAATGACGGAACTCTGCAAACACTGCAGCCTCTCAAGTCTGTGGTGAACCCAGAACATGTTTTGTTGAAGCCCTACAACAACGTTATTTTGCTTTATATAACAAATAAAGGCTCGCTGCTCATTGAAAAATCCACCGCTGTCCTGACTACAGACAACAGAGAAGCTCCTCCCACCGGCGTCAGGCGCGTCACTCGCGTCAAAAGCTTCAAGCACCAAAATGACAAAACTATCCCGGCGTCAGTTGAAGCGCGTCAAAAGCTTTTTGAAGCTTTTGGTCTGAACGCGCCTTGACACCTGACTTCCTCTGTTGTGCTGCTCCATGATTGGCTCCAGCCTGCTGGACTGAACTTGCCCCAGTGTGCCCCTCCTTGATATCCCGCAATCCACCACCAGGGTTTAGACACATAACACACTTTTTTCAGGAAAGTAAACCTCCAGGGGTCCTTTCCATATTTTTACAGAGACTGCATAAGGACCGTTGGAAAAGCATTACCCATTGATTATTAAGCTTGGACCAGTGGGGTCCGGTGTTCGGGCCCCACCACGTAAAACCAGTCCCCATGACGTGAGTGGAATCTCAGGTTATGGACCCCACCAGGAGTTGAAAACAAGTGCACACGCACACACACACGCGCACACGCGCACACACACACACACGCACACGCACACACACACACACCTCTCTCCTCCAGCTGCTCAGTGCTGAGGGCATCACTCTTTCCTCCTTGTACTTCTTCACTATTTCTTTTTTATACACTCTTTTAAATAGCATCAGTTTGAACACGTTTTAATTTCATCAGATAGACTGTTCCACAGAGTAACTTCACACACGGAGATACACATTGATTTTAAAGTCGTTCTAAATGTAGGTAAGTACAGTTGTTTGTTTCCTCTTAGTCTATACTGGTGGTGAGCATCTCTATCATGGAACAGTGTTTGCAAACTCGGTGGGAGAGAGTTTTGCGATGCCCTGAACATTATTTGAGCAGTTTTAAATTGAATCAAGTCTTGAAGTTTAAGTTGTCCCAAGTGTAAAAATAATGGGTGTGTATTATGTCTATAGTGAACATTAGTGAACATCCTAATAGCCTTCTTTTGCAAAGTGAAAAAAAGGCTGTAAGTGAGAATTGTAACAAACTTCAATACAGTAAAATAAATATGACATAATAAATGAATGATACAGGAGCAGGACATTTGTGTTCAGTGAAGGACTCGCTCGCTTCATCAGTCCCACACATTGAGCAACCTTTGTTCTCAGGTCACTTATGTGGGGTTTCCAATGGATTTTATCATCTATAATATCCTAAGAAAGACATTTTGTTTGACTTTCTCAATTGGTGTATCATCAATTATTATTCTGACTGGAATATTACTTTTATGATTACCAAAGAGCATAATTTTGGTCTTTTTTAAATTTAGTGATAATTTACAGTATTACTGTTAAACCATGTTTTTACTTTGTTCAATTCCACAGTTACTGTAGACAAAAGTTGCTCCAAATCGTCACCTGAACATGTAATAGTCGTGTCATCAGCAAAGAGAATGAATTTAATCAACTTTGATACTTTGCATATTTCATTAATGTACAATATAAATAAAGTGGGTCCCAATATTGAACCTTGTGGTACTCCACAGGTTATGTTCCTACAACTCGATTTTTGTTGATCGATCTGAACAATCTGCCGTCTCTCTCTCAGGTAGCTCTGCAACCATTTATTTCCCAATCCCCTTATACCATAGGCCTCCAGTTTGGTAATCAAGATATCATGATCAATGGTATCAAACGCCTTTTGAAGATCAATAAAAATTCCAATTACAAATTTATTTTTTCGATTCCATTTGTTATCTCCTCGACTAAGTCAATAAGAGCAAGTGATGTAGATCTATTTTGCCTAAACCCATATTGACTATCAGACAATAAATTATGTCTTTCAATAAACCCACGGATCAAATAATTTTTCTAATATTTTGGAAAACTGAGGCAGAAGGGAGATTGGCCGATAATTGGTGAAACGGTGTTTGTCTCCGGATTTGAATACGGAGATAGGCGTGACTATGTCTGTTAATATTTACAGTCTATGGTCTGAACCAGGACTGAACCAGGACCAGTCTGAGCTGCTCTGAATTATATATTAAGCTCTATTGTGCTGGTTTAATTATAATCTGGCGGTCCCTTTGATGGCGGTCCACGGCATACGTTGCCAGGTTTGTTTGGCAAAAACAGCTGAATGTGAACGATCTGACATGGAGAGAAGAGAAGAGAGAGAGGAAAAGGAAAAGATGAGAGAGGAATGAGGAGAGAGAGGATGATGGAGAGAAGAGAGAGGTGAGAGAGAGGAGAGATGGGGAGGTGCTGTGACAGTGTGTGTGTTCCTCTTTCTGCAGGAGGTGAGCGATGGGGAGGTGCTGGAGCTCTCCCACTCCGCCCTTGGCCGCGTCTCCTTCATCAGACAGATCCTACCCCAGTGGAGTGACTCCTCCTGTGTCCGACATACTCACAAGATCTCCTCCTTACTCTGCGACCCACAGGAGGGATACCTGCAGAACCTGGAGGTGAGAGGAGAAAGGAGGAGAGAGAGGAGAAAGGATGAGGTGAAGAGAAAGGAGGAGGAGGTGAAGAGAAAGGAGGAGGGGGTAGAGGAGGTGATAAGGAGGAGGAGATGAAGGAGAGGAGAGGTGAGAGGAGGAGAGAAGAGGGTAGGAGGAGGAGTGGATAAGGAGACGAGAAGGAGAGGAGGAGGAGAGAGAAGGAGTAGGGGGGAGAGGATAGTGGAGAAGACAGGAGGAGTAGAGGAAGAGGGGGTAGAGAAGGAGCTGATGAGGAGGATGAGATGAAGAGGAGGAGACAGGAGTAGAGGAGAGGAGGGTGCGAGGAGGAGAGGATGATGAGACGAGGAGAGGAGACAGAGGGAGATCATAGTGGAGGAGACAGGAGGAGGAGAGGAGAAGGAGGGGAGGAGGAAGTGATGTGTGTGTCTCTCTCTCTGGTAGCTCTCCAGCCTGTACCTCTACGATAGCGTGTTGATGCTAGCTAACGCCTTCTACCGGAAGCTGGAGGATCGGAAGTGGCACAGTATGGCTTCACTCAACTGCATCAAGAAATCGACGAAGCCCTGGAACGGAGGCTGGTCCATGCTGCAGACAATCCAGAGGGTGAGGAGGGGTAGAGGGGCAAAGGGGAGGAGAGGGGGAGAGAGGAAGAAGAGGGGAGTGAAGAAAAGAGGGAGGGGGAGAGAGGAGGAGAAAGAGAGAGGGTATAGAGAGAGAGGGAGAAGAGGGGGAAAGAGGAAGAAGCAGGGAGAGAGGAGGAGAGAGAGAGGGGGGGAGGCGAGGGGTAGGGGGACATCTATCGCTTATTGCCTTTCAATAACTAACACAACCAAACCCTTGTGTATTTGAATATAAAATATGGTCTCTCTCTGGTCTCTGTCTCTCTTGTCTCTCTTGTCTCTCTCTTGTCTTTCCCTGGTCTCTCTCTTGTGTTTCTCTGGTCTCTGGTCTCTTTCAGGGGAACATCTCTGGTCTCACAGGGACCATGGACTTTAATGCCAGTGGGTCTAACTCTCACGTTCACTTCGAGATCCTCGGCTCCAGTTTCAGCGAGACGTTCGGCAAAGGCGTCAAGAGGGTGAGACACACGACCCTGTCCCTGCGGAAGAAAAGCCTGATGCTCTAAAGCAGGTCTAAACAGGTCTAAAGTAGATCTACTGTAAAGCAGGACTTTGAGGAGTAGCCAAGGAGTATGTTTGAAGAAGGATTTTAAACTCTATGCTATACTCCACAGGAAGCCAGTTGAGTGATTTTAACACTGGAGTTATGTGTTCCTCCTCTTTCTGCTGTATTTTGAGCTAAAAGCTCTTCATAGAAGATTAAGGGCATGGTGCCAAGAGAGGGCCCTACAGTCAGGACTTGAGGAGGCAAATGTTTGGATAAATTTTTCTGAGTCATTTTTAGGATGTACCGCAGTTGTTTGGTTTATATCTGCTCTGAGGGAGAGCTCTGGGTCGATTAAGACTCCAAGATTCCTCAGTGTTGCTAGGTGCTACGCCAACATTAGCGAGTGTGGTTATCTGATCAGCAGGAGTCAGACGTTTGGAACAGAGTTTGATCATTTCTGTTTGGTTTCATAGACAAAAAGCTGTGACTGCAGCAGTGGAAGTTAATGTTTTTAATGTTGTCAAACAACAGCATGTAGCGTGAAGAGGGCAGAGTACTGATCCTTGTGGCACTCCCAGTGTTACTATATAACAGGGCGAGGAGTTTTGCTTCGGTAAAACACACTAATAGCAATCCAATAAATAGGATTTAAACCAGTGCTTATCCTCCAAGTGATGTCACATTCTAGCCTCTGCAGTAGACTATTGTGGTCTCTCTCTGGTCTCTCACTAGTCTCTTTCTGGTCTCTTTCTGGTCTCTCTCTGGTCTCTCTCTGGTCTCTCTCTGGTCTCTCTCTGGTCTCTCTCTGGTCTCTCTCTGGTCTCTCTCTGGTCTCTCTCTGGTCTCCCTGGTCTCTCTCTGGTCTCTCTGGTCTCTTGCTGTTCTCCCTCTGGTCTTTCTGGTCTCTCCTCCTGCAGGTGGCACTCTGGGACCAGGTCCATGGTCTGAATGGGAGTCTGAAGGAGAGTCGCATCGAGAACGGGATGCAGGGAGTCACCGTGAGGGTCGTGACTCTGCTGGTGAGAACCATGTTGATTATAGTATCTCTCTCTGGTCTCTTTCTGGTCACTCTCTGGTCTCTTTCCTTCAGGAGGATCCGTTCGTGATGGTGGCAGAGAACATTCTGGGACAACCCAAACGCTACAAAGGATTCTCCATCGACGTGTTGGACGCACTGAGCAAGAGTCTTGGCTTTAAGTATGACATCTACCAGGTGAGAGAGACCAGAGGGAGACCAGCGATAGAGACCAGAGAGAGACCAGGGGGAGACCAGCGATAGAGACCAGAGAGAGACCAGAGAGAGACTAGAGAGGCCAAAGAGGGACCAGAGAGAGACCAGGGAGACAGACCAGAGAGAGAGACCAGAAAGAGAGACCAGAGAGAGATTAGAGAGAGACCAGAGAGAGACCAATGACAGACCAAAAAGAGACCAGCGAGAGAGACCATCAAGAGACTAAAGAGAGACCAGAGGGAGAGGCCATAGGGAGACGAGAGCGAGAGAGACCAGAAAGAGAGACCAGAGAGAGAGACCCTAGAGAGACTAGAGCGAGACCCTAGAGAGACCCTAGAGAGACCAGAGACAGACCAGAGAGCTTCTTGTCCATGTGGATCTATAGAAGGTAGAACCTCTTCACATGACCCTCTCTCTGCAGGTGTCTGACAGTAAGTACGGCTCGCAGCTCCCCAACGGCTCCTGGGACGGGATGATCGGAGACCTCATCAACAAGGTCCTCACTTTAGAGCTGTGAACGAGACTTTAAAGCTGTGGACGAGACTTCAGAGCTGTGGACGAGACTTTAGAGCACTGAAAATGATTCTAAAACTTTTTGTTTGGTCCTTTATCCTGGTCCTGGTGATGTATTTCTGGCCTCAGTCAATCTTTAGATCAACTTTTTCAGACAGAAAAGGGAAACAGAGAGGAACACCCTCACTGACCAGAGAGTGGCCAGAGAGAGAGACCAGAGAGAGACCAGAAAGAGAGACCAGAGAGAGACCAGCGAGAGAGACCAGCGAGAGACCAGCGAGAGAGACCAGAGAGAGAGACCAGAGAGAGAGACCAGAGAGAGAGACCAGAGAGAGAGACCAGAGAGAGAGACCAGAGAGAGAGACCAGAGAGAGAGACCAGAGAGAGAGACCAGAGAGAGAGACCAGAGAGAGACCAGCGAGAGAGACCAGAGAGAGACCAGCGAGAGAGACCAGCGAGAGACCAGCGAGAGAGACCAGCGAGAGAGACCAGAGAGAGAGACCAGAGAGAGAGACCAGAGAGAGAGACCAGAGAGAGAGACCAGAGAAAGACCAGAGAGAGACCAGAGACAGAGACCAGAGACGCTCTAACCATGTGTTCTGCTTTAGAAGGCAGACGTAGCCGTGTCTGCCCTGACCATCACGCCGGAGCGGGAAAGCGTGGTGGACTTTACGAAGCGTTACCATGACTACAGTGTTGGGATCCTGCTGCGGCGGCCGGTCGAGCGACTCGACATGTTCTCGCTGCTTGCTCCGTTTGAGCCCTCAGTCTGGTTCTGCCTCGCCGCCTCGGTGCCTCTGGTGGGAGTCCTGCTCTTCCTGCTCAACCGACTGCACGCACTCAGAAACTCCAACTCCCACAATGCACCAGGGCAGAGCGGCACCTCCAGCCTGCAGGGTGCCATCTGGATTGTGTACGGGGCGTTCCTGCAGCAAGGTGAGACATCAGGGTGGGATATTCTCATCAACAATTGTCTGTGGTTTATCCCAGCAGCAATCCTCCTCAATCGGGTGTGGGGGAGGAGGGAGAGAGAAAAAGAGACAGAGGACAATAGAGAAGAAGGGAGACCAGAGAGAGAGACCATAGAGCTCTGAAGTATACTTCCTGTCCACTTCCAGTCCCCTTCCTGTTTACTTCCTGTCCATTTCCACCACTTTCTGTTAACTTCCTGTCTACTTGCTTTCTACTTCCTGTCTAATTCTGGGTCACTTCTGTCTACTATCGGTTTATTTTCTGCCTACTACTTATTCGCTTCCTGTTTACTTCCTGTCCACTTCCTGTCTACTTCCTATTGACTTCCGTTTCACTTCCTGTCCATTTCCTGTTTACTTCTTGTCCACTTCCTGTCTGCAGGAGGAGACGGGGTCATGAACTCAGTGGCTCTCCGGATCGTGATGGGCAGCTGGTGGATCTTCACTCTGATCGTCTGCTCCTCCTACACCGCAAACCTGGCAGCCTACCTGACTGTGACCCGCATGGACCAGCAGATCCGGTGAGCACCAGCAACACACCAGCACCAGTACCAATGTTACTGCTTCTACTACATCCACACATACTCGTTCTTGGAACAGAGGCGGCGTGTCTCTGAGGTCCACTAAGAAACAGTCTTTGATTTGATTTTAATCTCCACAAAAATCTTACATTAATTATTTCTCTGCTTCAACTCAGACTCCATATGTGTGGTCTCTCTCTGGTCTCTCTCCCTGGTCTTTCTCTGGCCTCTCTCTGGTCTCGCTCTCTGGTCTCGCTCTCTGGTCTCGCTCTCTGGTCTGGCTCTCTGGTCTGGCTCTCTGGTCTGGCTCTCTGGTCTCGCTCTCTGGTCTCGCTCTCTGGTCTCGCTCTCTGGTCTCGCTCTCTGGTCTCGCTCTCTGGTCTCGCTCTCTGGTCTCGCTCTCTGGTCTCGCTCTCTGGTCTCGCTCTCTGGTCTCGCTCTCTGGTCTCGCTCTCTGGTCTCGCTCTCTGGTCTCGCTCTCTGGTCTCGCTCTCTGGTCTCGCTCTCTGGTCTCGCTCTCTGGTCTCGCTCTCTGGTCTCGCTCTCTGGTCTCGCTCTCTGGTCTCGCTCTCTGGTCTCGCTCTCTGGTCTCGCTCTCTGGTCTCGCTCTCTGGTCTCGCTCTCTGGTCTCGCTCTCTGGTCTCGCTCTCTGGTCTCTCTCTGGTCTCTCTCTGCTCTCTCTGTCTGATGCTCACACACACAAAAGCATAATTCCTCCCGCTGTATTAATAGCTGATGCAGAGCGCTAAAGCTGTCGTGTCATCATGACTAATCACAGATAATGACTTTAACAGAGACGCAGCAAAAACAGAACTGAGACTCAGAGACCAGAGAGAGACCAGAGAGAGACCAGAGAGAGACCAGAGAGAGACCAGAGAGAGACCAGAGAGAGACCAGAGAGAGACCAGAGAGAGAGACCAGAGAGAGACCAGAGAGAGAGACCAGAGAGAGACCAGAGAGAGAGACCAGAGAGAGAGAGACCAGAGAGCAATACCAGAGAGAGACCAGCGAGAGACCAGAGAGAGACCAGAGAGCAAGACCAGAGAGAGAGCCCAGAGGGAAACCAGAGAGAGACCAGAGAGACCAACTTTTGCATTCACAGATAGTTCGCTATTATTTGAACAATTTAAGGCATCCATCAGAGTCTCTATCTAAATGACGTCACTAAGACACGCCCCCGCCGCCTGTCAACTTCCGCCCACATGTTTCGGACAAACACTGCCGAAATGAATCAAATACCACTTGTCACTTTAGACAAAAATGATATACCAGGGGCAAAATTCCACCATCAAACCATCAGGGATCATAGTGTAGACCAATTATAACGTTGGCTTGAATGTCGTGGTCTTCCAGTAACTGGTAGAAAGTTTGATTTGATAAAAAGGTAATGGTGAGGATTATGCTAACATTATCTAGTCATTTAAATTGCAATGCTAGCGCCTTCTTTGTTTGTTTTGCTGTGATTAACTTCCATTTATCAAGTTGTTTTTGCACTATCCACTTTGTAATTAGTTTGATCATTAGTTAGCTACAGTCAGCTGATATTATAATAAATCCATGATCACAACGGGTTACGCCACTGTCTCTGAGAGAAACTATCAGAGCTAGCCACACTCAGTAAACGCAAATGACAATCAATCAACACATTTAAATGTTAATGGGAGAATACATTATACACATTCATAACACAAGTGCACGGAGGTTTTCAGAATTAACTGTTCAGGTTTTCATGACAAAAATACTTTTTTAATGCGACTAAAGCGATCGCTTTTAGGTTAACTATCCTCACTGTTACTCGCCTGCCACGGGAAAACCTTTGGGAACTATTTTCTTTGCACTCATTAAATAAACCTTTCGGCATGAGTAGTGAATGACGTTTATTTTGTGTGTTCAATTGGTACAAAGCCGTATAATAAGCAGACACAAAGTTGAAAAAAATCCCTCTCATCTTTCTTCAGGTGTGAGAATTGTATACTTTCTGGATTAGGACAAACAATACTAATATGGATTGATGGGGGTAAATGGTGTAAAGAGAAAGTTTGTGCTAACTACATTCAGAAGAGCTCAGACGGACCTGATACAGCGGTCCAGATCCAGTCCCAGCTAAACGTAGCTAGGACTGGATCTGGATGCTCCACAGTTGGTCCAGCGAAGTGTTTTGAAAAAACATGTGCCCTTTTTAACCTTTTCATGAGAGAAATTCTGCCGACCACAAGCACCCACCTGGTCTGATCTGGTCCTGGTCTGGTCCTGGTCTGGTCCGATGTTGTGGTTTAACGAACGGGTTGAATGTTACTTTCATATAGTCCTTTTCAGAGTATCTGAAATCGCTCCGACAAGCACCATAACTGCAGTGTTTTGTTGTCACCATGATTCAATGATTTAGCCCAAATAAATACACACGCGTATGAGGAGAACACAGTAGAACTCAACGAGTCGTACACAATGTTTGTCCGAAACATGCGCGCATGCGCAGTCATCTGAGCTATTTTTAGCACATTTCGGAAACCGGACAGTGCCCTATGCCCTGATGACCAGTGCTACAAACCTGATCTCCCAAAGAGGAGATATCTGTGGTCAGTGGTGTCTGCATGAGTCTGGTCTCTCTGGTCACTCTCTGGTCACTCTCTGGTCACTCTCTGGTCACTCTCTGGTCACTCTCTGGTCACTCTCTGGTCACTCTCTGGTCTCTCCTCCAGTTTCTCTATGGTCTATGTCTGGTCTCTTTCAGGTCTCTCTCTCTGGTCTCTCCCTTGTGTCTCTCTCCCTGGTCTCTTTGGTCTCCCTCTGATGGTGAGGGATACATCTGGTGTCTGGTTCCAGGACTTTCCAGGATCTCTCCCGGCAGTTGGACCTGGACTATGGTACGGTCCGGGACTCTGCGGTCTATGATTACTTCAAACACAAAGGGACGAATCCTCTGGAGCAAGACACTGCATACGCCGAGCTGTGGAGGACCATCAACCGCAATGAGGGCCAGGACTCCAGCGTGTCCAGTCCCTCAGAGGGCATCAAGAGGGTAAGGAACCAGGAACCATGACTGACGAGGAGGCGGTGGGGCCTGGTCCCTGTCTCACCTTGTCCCTTTCTCACCTGATCTCTGTCTCACCTGGTCCCTGTCTCACCTGGTCTCCTTCCTCAGGTGAAGAAGACGTCCTTTGCGTTCTTGTGGGACCTCTCGGTGCTGGAGTTTGCGGCTCTCACAGACGATGATTGTTCTCTCACTGTCAGCGGCAGCAGCTCCAGCTCCAAGGGCTACGGCTTCGCTCTGCAGCACGGCAGCCCCTACAGGGACCTGTTCTCTCACAGGTACAAGTACTACAGGGACCTGTTCTCTCACAGGTACAAGTACTACAGGGACCTGTTCTCTCACAGGTACAAGTACTACAGGGACCTGTTCTCTCACAGGTACAAGTACTACAGGGACCTGTTCTCTCACAGGTACAAGTACTACAGGAACCTGTTCTCTCACAGGTTTTGGACCCCTGTGCTTGTGGGTAGGTTTGTTTATTTATTTGAACGGTCCATGTGAGTGAACAGACATGAGAGGAACATGAATGTAATACTGCTGGTACTATGAGTACTGCAAATACTATTACTGAACCAGCACAAGAAGATCGGTTTCTGGTCTCTCTCTGGTCTCTCTCTGGTCTCTGTATGGTCTCTCTCTGGTCTTTCTCTGGTCTCTCTCTGGTCTCTCTTTGGTGTCTCTCTGGTCTTTTTCTGGTCTCGCTCTCTGGTTTCTCTCTCTGGTCGCTCTCTCTGGTCGCTCTCTCTGGTCGCTCTCTCTGGTCGCTCTCTCTGGTCGCTCTCTCTGGTCGCTCTCTCTGGTCGCTCTCTCTGGTCGCTCTCTCTGGTCGCTCTCTCTGGTCTCTCTCCCTGGTCTCTCTCCCTGGTCTCTCTCCCTGGTCTCTCTCTCTGGTCTCATGATTTGCCTCCTCTCCTGCGTTAGCATTAGCGTGACCTTTCGCTGCTCTCCTCTCGTTAGCTTGAGTTACAACTTAATTAAAAACCACAATAATCTTCTTTTTCCGGACGTAAACCTAATTTAGTGTTTTTAATCAGTCTAACGGCGCAGAGGGAAACTCGTGAAGGTCGCGGAGACGCTGGGGACTGAGGCGGGAGCTAGCATCGTTAGCGCTAATGCTACGAGCCGTGGGACCTAGCATTAGCAGAACAAAAGACTTCAAGGCGGATCGCAAATATGTGTGAGAAAAACAAAAGAAGGATTATTAAAGAGGGACCAGGACTGGACCAGGACTGAACCAGGACTGGACGAAGACTGAATTAGGACTGAACCAGGACTGGCCCGGGACTGAACCGGGAATGAACTGGGAGTGACCCAGGACTGGACCGGGACTGGGATGGAACCAAGAGAGACTTTCCCGGTTTAGTTGCATTCCTGCACTGGTCCACTCCTAGTCTGGACCTGATCTAGACCAAGCCCAATTCCGTCTTCAGTCCTGGTCCTGACCTGGTTTAGTCCTCACCTGGTTTTCCCCTGGTCCTCCCCTGGTCCTCATCTGGTTTTCCCCTGGTCCTCCCCTGGTACTCACCTGGTACTCACCTGGTACTCACCTGGTACTCCCCTGGTCCTAGGATCTTGGAGCTGCAGGAGAGAGGAGACCTGGACGTGTTGCAGCAGAAGTGGTGGCCTCGCTCTGGTCGCTGTGACCTCTCTGTCTCTGCGGCAACGCCCCCCGCTGGCCGCTCCCTTAAACTGCACAGTTTCACTGGAGTCTTCTGCATACTGGCAACAGGACTCATCATTGCCTGCATAGTCGCCGCCCTGGAGGCCTGGTGGAGGAACTACAACTGTAGGGGACAGGCCCCGAGAGAGGTGAGGGAGGGGGAGAGGAGAGAGAGAGGGGGGGGGGGGAGGGGGGGGGGCAGACGAGGAAAGAGAGGAGGAGGGGAGACGGGATGAACGAACTCAAGTTTGACCAGGATTAATTGGGATTAAGTCAAGAACAGAGCAGAGATTAAACAGAAGAAGTCTCAATTATTTTATTGTACTTTTGATTATACAACGAATACCTGCTTTAGTCCTTCTTTAGACCTGCTTTAGTCCTGCTTTAGGTCTCCTTTAGTCATTCTTTAGTCCTGCTTTAGTCCTGCTGTAGTCCTTCTTTAGTCCTGCTTTAGTCCTGCTTTAGTCCTGCTTTAGTCCTGCTTTAGACCTGCTTTAGACCTGCTTTAGACCTGCTTTAGTCCTGCTGTAGACCTGCTTTAGTCCTGCTTTAGTCCTGCTTTAGTCCTTCTTTAGTCCTGCTTTAGTCCTGCTTTAGTCCTGCTTTAGTCCTGCTTTAGACCTGCTTTAGTCCTGCTTTAGACCTGCTTTAGTCCTGCTGTAGATCTGCTTTAGTCCTGCTTTAGTCCTGCTTTAGACCTGCTTTAGTCCTGCTTTAGACCTGCTTTAGTCCTGCTTTAGACCTGCTTTAGTCCTGCTTTAGGTCTCCTTTAGTCATTCTTTAGTCCTGCTTTAGTCCTGCTGTAGTCCTGCTTTAGTCCTGCTTTAGTCCTGCTTTAGTCCTGCTTTAGTCCTGCTTTAGTCCTGCTTTAGTCCTTCTTTAGTCCTGCTGTAGTCCTGCTTTAGTCCTGCTTTAGTCCTTCTTTAGTCCTGCTTTAGTCCTGCTTTAGTCCTGCTTTAGACCTGCTTTAGTCCTGCTTTAGACCTGCTTTAGTCCTGCTTTAGACCTGCTTTAGTCCTGCTTTAGTCCTGCTTTAGACCTGCTTTAGTCCTGCTGTAGACCTGCTTTAGTCCTGCTGTAGACCTGCTTCAGTCCTGCTTTAGTCCTGCTTCAGTCCTGCTTTAGTCCTGTCTTTAGTCCCTGACTGTGTCTGTTGCGCCCCTTTCAGGACAAAGAGATGAACTTGGAGCAGGTTCATCATCGGATCAACAGTCTCCTCGACGACGACATGACGCACAAACAACTCCCAGGATCCTCTCTGCCTCCTCACGTGAGAGCTGACCTTAGAGCTGACCTTAGATACAATAGAGCTGACCTTAGAGACGATAGAGCTGATCTTAGATATGGAAGACTATTGGCACCTTAATTCAATTGTCTATTCATTTGTCAAATGGCTATGCATTATGTTATTTTAGTATTTATTTTGTATTTGTATTTGTCAAAGTGTCATGTTATATCCAATTTTGACATTTAATGTTCTATTCCAAAAGTTCTAATGGCAATTCAATATGTAAAGTGTCGATACAATGTCTTTATATATTGCAAATTACAAGATTTTGAAATGAATAGCATATTGACATGGACATTTGGCCTCTTTATTCATTGTTCTATTCATTCTTAACATGGCAGTTTAGAGTTGTATTTGGCAAAATTGCATGTTATATCCTATTTTGACTCGTATTCAACATTTGAGTATGTTAAGTTTCATTTAATGTGTTGTGAAACAGCACCTCCCTCTGGATTGCATTGCCACATGGTTTGAGTGCAACTTAATTCAATATGCTATGCAGTTCTTGACCCCTGGGAAGGCGGGCCCTGGTTCACTCTCGGCCAATCAGAGACGAGTCTATATCCTCCTAGCTACATGCGCTGGGTTGTTGATTTTTGCTGGAAGTAAATGCTGTTATGACGGATTGGAAGTAACAGATCACCCTTCATGAAGATTCCAAGTTACTCTAAGGAGGTTCTATGTAAGTATAGAAGTGTGTTTGTTAAAATACCAGTAGTTTTTTTTTAATTTTTTTTTTAGAAAACACTACTGGCTAGCCAGTTAAACGTCCAGAGCTAGTAGGCTAATGTTACTTTAAAAACGGGCTGCTCTTGGTCGGTCACCAGTCACAGTTACTGTGAAGCCGATTCAGACAGTGACATGGCATATCTTCTAACTACAGTGGGCACACTTGGATCTTCAGACGCACTTCGAGTCAGCACCGTACGGAGAAAAACACAAGTTGTAAACCAGGGGTCACCAACGCGGTGCCCGCGGGCACCAGGTCGCCCGCAAGGACCAGATGAGTCGCCCGCTGGCCTGTTCTAAAAATAGCTCAAATGGCAGCACCTACCAGTGCTATTCTTGTTTAAATCATACTTACATGCAACTTACAAATGGCATATAAACTAGAGCCGGGACTTTAACAAGTTAATAAAGATTAATTAATTACACACAAAAAAGCGCGTTAAAAAAATTACGCATTTTAATCGTATGTATTTTTGCACCGCGGAACGTTCCTCACTGAATAAGTTTCAGACGGACCAATTGAACTGACGCACCAACCGGAGCTCCGTGACTTTTCTTGTTCAAAAGTACATTATTACAAGCAGAGACCAACTTTAAATTCGAGTAAATTAGACGGGAATGAGCGCTGTGTATGGAGCAATGGACTCTGTGTTTGAGGAGGAGGAGCAGTGACTCCTGTGTGAGCGGAGGAGGAGGAGAAGGAGAAGGAGGAGCGAGACACAGGTGTGTGAGCTGCTAATGCTGATGTTTACTCCGAATGCACACATCAAAAACGTATTATAAAAGGTTTAGCAAACAGGGCATGCCCAGCTTTAGTGCTCACAGCGTGTGCAGTGGATTTTGGGCTTAAAAAGAGTATGTTGTCGTCAGTGTGAGGAGGAGGAGGAGCATATGTTGTCGTCAGAGTGTGGAGGCAATGACAGAAACGTTATTTGATGTTTAGAAGTTATCCCTTAAACTCCATATTAACATGTGTTGCTTAAGCCTCATGTATTCAGTCATTATTCAATGGTAAACTAAAAATCCATGTGAAAAAAATTACTTTTCACTGTTCTCAGGTCAAATATTTATATGCGATTAAAATGTGATTAATTGCGATTAAATGGGACTGTCTTAGAAGTGATCATTTGTTAAATTTGAAAAATGTGCACTTAGAGAAAATATAAAAGTTTTTCCACAAAATAAATATCATTAATTATTAGTAAAAACATAGAATTAAAGGTAAATTGAGCAAATTGGCCATATCTGGCAAACTGGTAGCCCTTCGCATTAATCAGTACCCAAGAAGTAGCTCTTGGTTTCAAAAAGGTTGGTGACCCCTGTTGTAAACTGTTATGCTAAGGAGGCCCTCAGTTGTAGCCATAGTGTAAACTTTATGGTTTTAGTGCGATTTATTCCTAATTTCCTATATGCTCATTCCTTGCTTAAAATAGCAGAGTTACTGCCCTTCAACTTGTTAGCAACACTCTAGTGCTTAGTTTTGTAGCTATGTAAGTTTGATTTGGTTAAAGGCTCAGCTACAGGGAAGACATCGTTCCAGTTTGTTGCCATGATAAATGTAACCCAGCTATATAAAACATTTAGTGTCTCCTCTATAATTTTTGTCAATCTAGGGTGCAGCCAAATGTTCAAGTAGTGTTGGCCTACACTAAAGTAAACGTAGTGGCGTTTTTTTTATTTTTTTGCATTTTTATTAAACTATAGGCTAACGTTATTGTAGGCCCATGTTAATTTCTATTCTCACAGTGCAGTTATCCTCTTACTCAATTATATCTTTATGCGTGGTGAAACCTCATTCCTGGTATTACTGGTATTTTAACAAACACACTTCTATACTTACATAGAACCTCCTTAGAGTAACTTGGAATCTTCATGAAGGGTGATCTGTTACTTCCAATCCGTCATAACAGCATTTACTTCCAGCAAAAATCAACAACACAGCGCATCTAGCCAGGAGGATATAGACTCGTCTCTGATTGGCCGAGAGTGAACCAGGGCCCGCCTTCCCGGGGGTCAAGAACTGCATAGCATATTGAATTAAGTTGCACTCAAACCATGTGGCAATGCAATATGCAATATGCTATTCATTTCAAAATCTTGTAATTTGCAATATATAAAGACATTGTATCGACACTTTACATATTGAATTGCCATTAGAACTTTTGGAATAGAACATTAAATGTCAAAATTGGATATAACATTACACTTTGACAAATACAAATACAAAATAAATACTAAAATAACATAATGCATAGCCATTTGACAAATGAATAGACAATTGAATTAAGGTGCCAATAGTCTTCCATACTTAGAGACTATAGAGCTGACTTTAGAGACGATAGAGCTGACCTTAGAGACGATAGAGCTGACCTTAGAGACTATAAAGCTGACCTTAGAGACCATAGAGCTGACCTTAGAGACTATAGAGTTGACCTTAGAGACGATAGAGTCGACCTTAGAGACTATAAAGCTGACCTTAGAGACCATAGAGCTGACCTTAGAGACTATAGAATTGACCTTAGAGACGATAGAGCTGACCTTAGAGACTATAAAGCTGACCTTAGAGACCATAGAGCTGACCTTAGAGACTATAGAATTGACCTTAGAGACGATAGAGCTGACCTTAGAGACTATAAAGCTGACCTTAGAGACCATAGAGCTGACCTTAAAGACAATAGAGCTGACCTTAGAGACTATAAAGCTGACCTTAGAGACCATAGAGCTGACCTTAAAGACAATAGAGCTGACCTTAGAGATGATAGAGCTGATCTTAGAGACTATAGCGCTGACTTTAGAGACTATAGAGCTGACTTTAGAGACTATAGAGCTGACCTTAGAGACTATAGAGCTGACCTTAGAAACTTTAGAGCTTGACCTTAGAGCTGTCTCTGTTGCAGGCCCTCAGCTCGTACCTTCCCGGTGACTCCGCCCCCACGCTCCTCTCGGGGGCGGGCTCTCGCTCGCACATGTCCGTCACTCACCTGAAGGGGGCGCTGCAGCCGTGTAAGCACCGTGCGCCAAACGGGGGACTATTCCGGACCTCCCCCGCCTCCCCCCTGTCCTACCAACAGGGGGCACACCATGAAGCCACAACCCTGTCCTACCAACAGGGGGCACACCATGAAGCCACAACCCTGTCCTACCAACAGGGGGCACACCATGAAGCCACACCCCTGTCCTACCAGCAGGGGACGCACCCAGACCCCACACACAGCACGTCCATCTGACACAGTGACCATGTGGACACACTCCCCTGACTCCACGACCAGACTGTTGCTCATCCTGCTGTCTCTTACTCCATTAAACTACCACCACATTCTAAACCATGGAACTGTTGTCTTGCTTGAAGATGGTTGCCGCGGAGACAGCTGTATATAAATCTTTTATATTCCACTGTAAATATAGTGTATTTTGAATATTTGAAATTTTTCAAGTAGAAATAAATCCCAAAAATCTTATTTAAACAGAGACTAGAGAGAGAGACCAGAGAGTGACCACAGAGACCAGAGAGAGTGACCAGAGAGAGACCAGAGAGAGACCAGAGAGAGACCAGAGAGAGACCAGAGAGGGACCAGAGAGGGACCAGAGAGAGACCAGAGAGAGACCAGAGAGGGACCAGAGAGGGACCAGAGAGAGACCAGAGAGAGACCAGAGAGGGACCAGAGAGGGACCAGAGAGAGACCACAGAGACCAGAGAGGGACCAGAGAAAGACCACAGAGACCACAGAGAGACCAGAGAGGGACCAGAGAGAGACCACAGAGAGACCAGGGAGAGACCAGAGAGACCACAGAAAGAGACTGTTTTCACTTACATCACAGACTGGTGCACGTTTATAGAAGCCGCTCATCCTGGTCGTCTCTTATTCCTTTTTACTACATCACGCCAAAATGTTTAACTGTGAAATGCTTTTACCACACTGTGCTGAAGACACAAACCAGGTCTGAACCAGAACTGAACCAGGACTGAACCAGGTCTGAACCAGGTCTGAACTAGGACTGAACCAGGACTGAACTTTGAAATGTGTTATTTATAAATCTGCTGCTTTGATTTTCTTAAACTTTATTAAAAAGATGTTTTCACAAAGGTTTTGGTTGGTTTTCTTTCACAAATTTCTTCAGTAAGATTTGCTGTTTCTTCCAAGGGCATGTGCAGGGACTGGATCTCCGCTTGCGGCTGACAGAAGTCCTTCGTCTCAGCTTGCGGTTTGAAGGACGTGGACACAGATTTATTATTCTATTTTACGATTGTATCATAAAAGTCTCCTCACAGTTTGTCCCAGAGACACAGAGGACCAGGTCTGAGTCTAGAATGTAGGCCCAGGTCTGATCCGGACTGTAGGACCAGGTCTGAGTCCAGATTCTAGGACCAGGTCTGAGTCCAGACTGTAGGACCAGGTCTGAGTCTAGACTGTAGGCCCAGGTCTGATCCGGACTGTAGGACCAGGTCTGAGTCCAGATTCTAGGACCAGGTCTGAGTCCAGACTGTAGGACCAGGGGTTGTGATCTGACTCTCACCTGATCCTTGAAGCAAAACGCCTCTGGTGGAGAGGAGAGTAAGGTTATCCCCTAATGCCTCACCCCTACACTGATGCCTCACCCCTACACTGATGCCTCACCCCTACACTGATGCCTCACCCCTACACTGATGCCTCACCCCTAACACTGATGCCTCACCCCTACACTGATGCCTCACCCCTACACTGATGCCTCACCCCTACACTGATGCCTCACCCCTACACTGATGCCTCACCCCTACACTGATGCCTCACCCCTACACTAACAGAAGTTGAACCTCTGTGTCGTTCTCGGTGTAACATTGTAACTTAACGCTGTTTATTTTTTGATCCATTGCAACGTTACTTATAATTACCACGGCCAACTGCGACCATCTGCTGGTACTGAGTACTGAGTCCACATGGTACTGTGTCCACATGGTACTGTGTCCCCATGGTCCGTGACATAGAGGTTCATCTCGGAGTGTTGCACTTGACACTCTGCGAGTACAACACAGCAGTGAGTGACTTTGCTCTTTTCATGAGGAGACGTCCTTCAACGTCCTTGAACACAGACGCTGAGGTACATCACAGTACTACAGTATACAACACTTCATTTGAGTCAATGCAGTAACACAAAACAACTCTAATGTAAAACTAGGCAATTATAATAATAATAATAATAATAATGCATTGGTTTTATATAGCGCTTTTTGGACACTCAAAGACGGTTCACATGTGTCATTATTCATTCACTCCATACACGGTGGTGATAAACTACTAATGTAGCCACAGCTGCCCTGGGGCACACTGACAGAAGCGAGGCAACCAGTATGTGCCATCGGCCCCTCTGACCACCACCAACCATTCACACACACACCAGACTCATTCTAGGCAATGGGGGTGATTATGCGTATTATGCGTACACACACAGTACTGTACACAGCACTGTGACATCTTAGTACTATGTACTTAATGTGATACAGTGACACAGTACAGTGCTGTAGATACTGTAGATACAAGAGTTACAGTACATGTGACACAGTACAGTACTGTAGGTACAGTCTGCAGTAGAGAGTTGAAGACATGTTTCCATCTGAAGGTCCTGATGATGGAACTGTGACTCTCTGCTTCCCTCAGTGTGAGGCCATGATTGATCACATGATCCACCAAAGTTGCTCTAATGTCATTAGAAATATCTTCAACCACGACTTCCTCCTCTCTCTTCCTCTTCCTCTTCCTCTACCTCTTCCTCTTCCTCTTCCTCTACCTCTTCCTCTTCCTCTTCCTCTACCTCTTCCTCTTGCTCTTCCTGCGTTCAGACTTACAAAGTTTTGAAAATGGCTAAACCGAGGCCTGTTGATGTCTGGCTGATGTGTGTCGCATTTTGTAATTCAGTGTGTGTCTCAGTGTAAGAGTCTGAACAAGGATATAATCCTGAGGTAAGTTGAAGACTGACTCAGTAAAGACTCAGAGGCTCAGAAAGACACATGCAGCGCACACGACATCGTCAGAAACTGTTTCGTATGAAGTGTCCAACTACACGGATATGTGGAGACCTTTCTTACTTACACTTAATTATTACAAATGCGCCTCTTTTTTCCCTTTTTTATTTTTATTTTTTAAGGAAGGGGAGGAGGGGGAGTCAGGGGAGAAAATGTAGAAAAAAGATTCTCTGTTAAAAGTAAAAACACAGAGGAACTGTAACATCTACAGTCATGTCTTTTGTTGTGTTATGTTGGGTGTGCACTTTGTCTGTGAAATGTTTGTACGATATAATAATGTCATTTAAATTATCACATTATTGCACAACTTCAAAAATATTATTTCAGAACTCGATGCCACAAATCCACAGTTCAATAAAACTATCAACGAACCCAGGTTGTTAACCCAATGCTTCTCCGACTGTGACCCAGACTTTAGTCAGTGACGATCTTGTTAAGGACACTTCCAGAACGACCGAAGCTCTATCAACTGATGTTTTATTGATCTTCTGTGGGATCCATGTGAGAAAACTATAGATACTTACTGCAGTTATTACTCAACAAGGAGTATTGTAGCAGTTAAAGAAACCACTAAAAACCATGAATCTATCATTGGACATACTAAAACATGAGAATTCATCAACTTTAGAATCAGAGGAATGAGTATTACACTTTGTAAGAACTGAATATGAAACTAACTTATTTCATCAAATACAAACTAAAGTCATTTCATGGATTATTAAACAAACTGAAAAAACTGTTCCTTGACAAAGCACAAGAGGCCGGTGAGAAAATAGCATAATTTCTTTCATAAAAAAAAAAAAAACAGAGCAAAGAGAAACGGGTAAAGTAAAATAATCCCAAAACAATTGAAAATGAAATCTGTCTCTTTGACTCAAAACTATTCTCCTCACAATCCTCAGAAGCAACGATCTGTCTGATGCTCGTCTCTTCATCAAACGTTTAAAGACAATTCAGATCTAAAAATAGAAGAACTCACTGCTTCGTTTAAGAGACAGACTTTGAATAAATCTCCAGAACAGACGAAAGAACTGAGCTGATGTGGAGCGTGGAACAGTGATCACACTCATCCCAAACGCAGGAAAGACAATTTAAGACCAATTACATTCTTAAAACAGAATGATATCGTCAGATTAGGAGTGTGGTAATGTGTTGGGATACTTTATCGAGCAATCGATTATATGCTTTTGTTAATTATTGATACTTAAGGTATACAGGAGGACTTTCTCCTGTATAGGATCAAGACTCTTGGTCGTCCCAATTGACCAGAGAGTTTTGTTGAAAAATTGGAGAGGGCGGTGCTTTCTTAAAATTTGGGAAAATCCTCCAAAATACGTTTAATATACGGCTACATTACTCAGCTCCATTTATGTCTTAGTGAGTAATTACTAGAGCCTCCACTAGGGGCGTAAGAAAAGGACAAAGTCTGGGACCGTGTTGTTAATTCAGACAGAAGACATGTTTTACTGTGGATGGTGGTCCACGGCCCACGGCCCGTAGTTCCCTATTTTGGGGATCACTTTAGTTTCTCCCGTGGTGTCTCCGTGTGTTTGTGTTTCTACCATAGACTGTATATATTAACGGACGTAGTCACGCCTATCTCCGCCATTCTAACTAATGGGCCAAAAATAGTGCTTTCATGGAGTGATTCAAAATGGCCCCGGGGGCTGGAAAATGTGAAAAAAGGCATCTGCGCATGCGTCAGCCCGTACGAGCCCCATTCATTTAAATGAGTGCATTCAAAAATTCACAGCAAGTAAACTAGAGTGGTCCAAAAAAATCCACCCCCCTCAGCATTGACACACATGTGGAACGGAGCTTTGGGCCAAGAGCCAACTTTTGGACCATCCTGTAAAGACGTTTTATAGAGGTAAGAAGATGCTATATGTTAGCATTGGCTAATCTTATTCCGGGTCCACCCCCATCGGCCCGGGTTGGTATTGCAAGCATGTCAGCGCACGTCATTTTGGCCACTTTTGAGCCGGGACCCGCCCCCACTGGTTTCCTCCCTTTACAGAAGACCACGCTCCTGAGTCCTGGGCTCGTCAGTCCTTCCCCATCTGGAGCTGATTGACCGATGCCTGGGTGCTGATTGGGCAGGAGCTGAGGCAGTCCTCCAATCAGCGCGCGCTCACCTGGAGGACCCGCCCTTATAAACTGCCAATCATCCGCGGCTCTGGGCAGCTGGAGTTAGTGGACTCCAGTGTTCTGTCCCTTGTGCCGGTGCTT